CATCAAGCCCTCGGCACCCTGAAGAACTCCAGCTTCTTCCGACTTGCTGCAGAAAGTTGTATGGCCTGTCAGTTCTTCATCCCCAAGCAAATTCAGAACAGTTTGACCAGATCTGAGTCTTGCTGTGAGAACAGTATTGAATTATTGGTACTGATGCGTATTTTAGCAATGTAGCAATCATGAAATACTGTATTTTGCTGATGTTGCAACAGAATATAGAGAGCAGACGGCAACTTAGTACAGGTTGTTTGCTTTCTAAGCCTTGAAGATCTATGATGAGAATCCACAGTTATGGGAAAAACTGCTGTTGTGAGAACTTCACTGTGTGCAGCCCTGCCATGAAGCTTACTGCTGCCTCATTTGGGAGACATCATGGTGCAGCCAGGGTTCAAAATCGGTTTCTGAGAATCATTTGAAATTGTGATTAGCAGTCTCTCAAATGCAGTGTATCTGTGATGATGAGATGTTGCTGCTCTGATGGTTTCTTACTCTTTTGGGGAGGCAGGGCTGTTTGTTCTAATAAATTCTGAAGCTGCACAATAATCATCCTTACTTGGCAGATACCTGTAGTGCACACCTGGCATTTGTCTTTCTGGTGCATTGGCACTTTTCCCAGGAGGGCATTTGACTTTCAGAACAATTCGTCTTGCTTGCAGTTCACTTGGGTGCTTTTCTGAGGAGTTCCTGGGAAAGAGGCAGGGCAAGAGCAGGGTGTATGAAAAGTTCTAAGGCAGCCCAGCTACTTACTGGTCTCTGATATGGGGATTCCTGAGATAAGAGCAGGGATTTGCTTACCAACATCTACTTAGTACAAGCATGGTAAGTGGTGCTTCTGGGAAGTTTTGCATCTGCTGCATATGGTGGACCGGCTGTACCGCACGTGAATGAAGAATCTGAGTCTTAAAGGAAATATTTCACCTATGCTCCACTAAAAAGGGGATGATGGCTTTTCCTTGTACAAGCAAAGACGTTATGCTCTGATGGCATGCTCTGATTCTAGCTTCAAAGTGTTAATCTATAAATTCTCTAAACTGTAGGCGTTCGCTTCCCTTCTCTTTTATGAAGTTAAGGATTCAGGAGTTATTAGATCAGAAGGAGAGATCAGGATTCTTTTCTGCGTTTTTATCCTGAAAGAGTCCCAATCCCAAGACAGAGATATGATCAATATGGCTTTATCTGTAAAGTAGTCTTAAAAATACTTCCAGTTGACCTACAAATGCTTCTCACAATAACGTGGATGAAACTCACTTTGTTCTGCAGATCAAGCCTACTGAGAAGAACCTTAATAGTTTATTATTTTTTACCAAAATACAAACTAATTATAGCTGTACCTATATTAAATTTATAAAGCTGTCTCTTCTGTTGTGTATGTGTTGGGTTTTTTTTTAAGGCAGCTGAGAATGGAGCAACGGGTGTTGAGCTGGATCTTGAATTTACTGCAGATGGTGTTCCCATTCTCATGCATGATGAAACAGTAGAAAGGACAACTGATGGATCTGGAAGATTGTGTGACTTGACTTTTGATCAAATTAGGAGGCTTAATCCATCTGCAAAACACAAGCTACGGTAAGTGAACTATTGCTATTCTGAAACTACTGTTTCAACAGTGAAAAAAACATTCTTGATAAACAAAATTACTGATTTGATCTATCATTGATGAAAGTTTTTGTAAATTTAGAACTTAGTCCCATATGTTACTTCTCATTTGATTGTAGAAGCGCATGAGACTATATCTCCTTACCCATCCTTGCAATAGGAACAGTGAAGCAGAGTCAAGATAATTTGCTTTCAAGGATAAAGTCCACAGGCACCTGATATGGAAAAGGTTAATCTCTCCATAAGCTTCTCCTAAATAGACTGCAAGACACTAAAGATACTGGGAGTTTCACTATATGTCAAAAGGGGCTTGAGTAATTACTTCTAAAACTAATTTTATTCACATATATTTCTTGACTGATTGTGTCTTGGAGATTCTAAACATCAGGATTATGCTGTTGAAAAGGAGCTAGGCAGATTTCCTGGGTAGTCTCAGGTGGGAGCTGTGACCCCAGTGGCTGATTAGGTCCTTTCCAGTTGTATGCAGGGGAAAATATTTTTATACATTACTAAAATTTTGATAACAATGCAACTTCTACAGTATCGTAAGTGAATCCATTTTAGAGGAAGAACTTTTAGTGTGTGCTCCTGAGACACTGCATTAGGAATTTCCAGACTCTTGTAAAGGTCCGACCTGTGAGTCTGTGGTACAGGTAGCATCTTCCCTGTCTGTTACTGGAAAAATGATCACATGAGCCACTCAGTGAGAGCTTCCATGTAGGCAGTTACCACTGATCTGCTGTTGCTCACTGTCACCTTGTCAGGAATAATTTATTGATGTGTGAAGCTGCTTCTCCTACATCCTCAGCTTGTCTTGCTTATTCTACTGGGATTTGTCCTTCTGGCTCAGGGCTAGGTAGCGCAGTCAGAGCAGGGTGAAGTGGGTAGGTAGGTGGTCAGCAGTTAGAACTGAATATTGTGGAAATTGAGGAAGGAGGTTAAGAACTGAGGCTAGGGTTTTGGTGTGGGATGCAGGGTCAGTAAGCATCAGATTAGACCTTGAATTTGGGGTGGGATTGTCTAGTGGGATTCTGGAGGAAGAGGAGATGTGCACATACATGTGCAGCCTTTTACTGGGTGATGGAGCCACTGCTGCCACTGCTAGTGGTGCTTGATCCCACCTGTAATACTAGTGAATCAGCAAACTATGTTCAGGAACCTCTAGGGAATGGCTCTGTGTAGTTGGGGATGTGAGTGCCTGTGTGTGTGTCCAGGTGTCTCTTTACTGCATCCCAGTGATCAGGTCTCCATTTCTACAGGAACAAATTCCAGGGTGAAAAGGTACCAACTCTGAGAGAAGCTGTTGTGGAGTCTATGCATCACAATCTTACAATCTACTTCGATGTCAAAGGCCATGCAAATCAGGTACCGCTTACTGTGCTACTGTTTACTACTTACTTACACCTTCCTTCACCCTTTCTTTGGGTTTCTACCTGCGTTTTTGTTGGTTTCAAACTGGTATGTGTGGTACAGTCCCTTATCTAATATGAATGAGACTGGCTCTGCTATTTGTGTCATCCAAAGCTAGGCTGTCAAAGCAAAGACAACATGTTCCCTTGTCCCATCCATTGTCCTGGGAAGCTGAGTGAGTGTTGAGTTCAGTTCACAGCACCACGAAACACAGCAAAGTGAATTCCCTGCCTGTGCTGAGGGGAGCTAGTCCCTCATCTTCAGCCTTGAACTAAGGGTCCTGCGTTTCCATAATTTGTGTTACTAAAGGGAGATACAAGTGATCTATCATTAAAATTTTATGCAAATTAGAACAATTTTTTCTTTAGCATAGCAAAATATGGAAATAAATTAATTTTTCCCCTTGAACTAAACCCTAGGTAGTGCTTCAGAATTTTATCCACAATATATTTAAGAGTATTTCAGACACTGAGAATGCTACTCACTGCTGTAAACAGTATAATGAAAAGGACTTTTTGTTGCAAAAAACAAAATGTCATTTCCGTGTTAATGGTATAAACAAGATGCTGTTTTTCTTCTCCCCTCTCTGCCTTTCAATCTTGTTACACAAAGCAAGAAAGTATTTTTTAAAAGGCATTATTCTAAAATGACTTTGCAGTGTAAAGTAAAAATGAGTGCATGTATAAAGTTAACATCTGTGTGCATCTGTCCCTAATTGGCAGGCGGTTGGTGCCCTAAAGCAACTCTACCTGGAATTCCCGCATTTGTATAACAACAGCGTGGTCTGTTCTTTCATGCCAGATGTTGTTTATAAGGTGATGTTTCCTAAAAGTATATTTTGGATTTTTTTATTTCTGTCGGGGAATTGCAATAAGATATACAACTCCCAGTTCCAGATTACTTTTGGGTTGTTAAAATTGCCAAGACTTTTTTTTTTTTTTAGAAAAAAAGCAGTGTAAATCATAAGTCTCCTGCAAAATCTTATTAGATCATCCTGTGCTCATTAGATGCACGTACGAATTTACAGCGATTCCCTCTATTCTGAAAGCTATGTAGAAAAAAGTGCATTGCTTTTACAGTTGGCATATGGCCAGATACCTGTGTGCAAGGTCCCTGTTAAACAAACCTCATATTTCAGTGTAAATACAGACTATTCTTAAAACTGTTTCTTAATTCTTGTTGCCAAGTCCATTTACTATGTATTTTATTCCATTGCCTGACCGTTAGGCAATTTTTTTAACATAAGAGCAGTTGTTTATTCAGTATGTTTTAAAGAAAAAAACAGTAAAATATCATAAACAGCTTTCTAAGGGTTACAAAAGGATCTGGGGAGAAGGATTCTGGTAGAGCTGCAAGTGCAAGATGCACTTTGTATCTAACCTGTCCCTATTTATATTGCTTTTGTATGAATTGCCGTCTTTTCTCCTTCATCCTCCAGATGAGACAAGCTGACAGAAACGTTGTAACAGCACTAACACACAGGCCTTGGCATCTGAGTCATCTTGGAGATGGGACACCCCGTTTCACTTCCTTCTGGAAACATTATTTGTATATGACGATGGATGTCATTCTAGATTGGAGCCTACACAGTTTCTTGTGGCGATTGTGTGGGGTTTCAGCTTTCCTCATACAGAAAAACTTTGTTTCTCAGTAAGTGTTAAAGCTTGCTAATCTATCAGGAGGCAATATCATCAATATCATTCTGTTAGTGTATAAGGGTGGAGCTAACATAGTATACGTTAATCAGAATGTTCTATTTAGTGTTGTGCAAAGTTTGTTTAGACAGTTTCTCTACCGCATGCTGTTTTATTATTTTAAGCCTCTATCTTTTCAATCCATATTTTTAGCTTATGTTAGATCCTACGTTTAATCTCAAAGGGGAAGAAAACTGTTGGTTTACAGTAATAAAACACAAAAAGATGACATTGCAAAAAATGACACAATACTGATGTGAGGCTAAAACTCAGTTGTAGCCTCTGCACTGTCTGCCTTAAATGTGGTAGCGTCAGCCTTCCTCTTACGGTGTCTTTGTTCCTTGCAGAGAGTATGTGAGGCATTGGTCTTCAAAAGGAATTCAAGTGGTTGCCTGGACAGTGAACACATTTGCTGAAAAAAGCTACTACGAAACCGTCCTTGAATGTAGCTACATCACTGACAGCTTGGTGGAAGACTGTGATCCTCATTACTAGACTTGTGCTTTGCAGACACTCACGAACCTAAATAAGCTATCTTACTCGGGCAGGTCTGAATTCCCCATCTAGAGGGCATCCCCTGGTGCAGACAGGACTGCGAGCGATAGTTCTGGGAAAAGGAAGAGCGGTAGTTACTGCAGCTGTACAGTCAGAGCTCGAATGCAGAAAAACCCTCTGTTGCAACACGGGACAAAGCTGAGGTACAGCCACTCGCAGTCCGAGGAAACGGCACTGTAACGTGAAAGGATCCGTTTTGGCAAGCTAACCGGGCAATACACTGCATGTGCAGGTTGCTTTATAATGCTCAGACTGTTCCTTCGGTTAAATCTTGGTTATAAAGTCATATCAGCAATTTTTGGTGGCAAAATTTAACATCAGACCCTGATTTTAGTAATTTAAACTCTGTTCTATGACTGTATAATAATTAGGTTTATTTATGGCATCTTAAAAATATCTACATTACTGTTCTTAAAACAGAACCTGAAAACAATGGTGCCAAAATAAAGGGTGAACGTATTTCTTTCCTCCTGCATGGAAAGCTGGCTGTGCTGCATCTTGACAAGGAAAAGAAAGCCAGCTTCCCATGTTCAATGTGAAGGCTCTGAGAATTAATGAATAAAACTTGAGTATCTTCTTATCTTCCAGACTCTTAAAAAGAACTGAGAGAGGATAGAAGATTGTCTTCTAATGACACAGCACACGAATGTATTTATTTTTAAAAGAAAGCTATATCTTGAGTGCTGGTAGTGGTAGAACAAATAGAGCTGAAATGTCTTTTTACTTTAGTTATTGTTTGCATGATTGAAGGGTGCTCAACAAGGATATGTGGGAAACTGTAGTCCAGATTTAACCTGAAATCAAGAGTCTGCAGTTATAATAAACAAGGATCTGATGGCTCACTGGTATGGTATTCTTTATCAGCTGTGCAGCAGTAGATTGATGTAAAATGTCAAAATTAGTGCAGGTTGCTTGCTATTTTTTCTCACAAGTAAAACCCCCAGGTGTTCTCATCACAGCTACCATCAATGTGCTGTGAAAAGTTCTGGCTGTGCTCTGGAAGAAGGTGGTAGTTAGAAACAGCTGCCAACGATTAGCAAGAGCAGAAACTCCTGTGGGGCCAGCCCTAATGTAGATTAGATCACCTTTTCTTCATGGCCAATACATGGAATTACTAAGTTTAATTTCATTTCAGAAGAATATGATACTAATTTCAATAGAAATGGGGAATTTGAACACTTAACCTGCTGCCAGCAACCATCAGTTATCTAGACATAGTCTCACGAGATACCTCAGACTGCACATGTAGCAACGCGTGCGTTTGACTAGAAAGTGTGACCCTGTTCCAGTAAGGGAGTTCCTTGTGCTACTTCAGCGTCGTGGCATTCCTTGTTTCTGTGTTTGGGCGTTGCTGTGTTTCAGCTGAGGGGCTGCACTCTGTACTGGGCGATTGCTTTACGACGTGCTAGGGAGAAGCTGCACTTCCCCGAAATGCATCAGCACATTGCATGGATGGGTGGTGCAGTCTGGTCCACTGTTTTGGATATAAATGTTCCTGATAGTATGCCTCATGGTTAGAATTAGTTCTCATTTACTGAGCTGAGATTTAAAAAAAACTTCTATAAAAGAGGCAAAAGGTAATAAATTAAAAAAAAAAAAATCAGTCATTGGTGGAAAGAACTACACAATTGTCCCAATTAAGGGTAAGTCCCAACTTCTGAATTAGCAGCAGATTAACACTACCTTCTGCAAGGGGTGAGGGATTTTTGCTTGTGTCTTGAGCTATATATAAGCACAAAGAAAAACAGGAGTAAGGAGGTGGGTCTTCCTGTCAGGATGATGAGAGCCTCTTCAGTTCACGTCACTCGTCCACCCTGTGCTGCAGAACCAATGATCTCAGTCTCCTGGTGCACATCTTATAGCATGTGTATGTTACACCATCAACCAGTTTCAGTCCAGCCATTTCATGAGTGTGGTGGCATCTGCCTGTACTGCTGTGTTCTACAGGTGTCCCCTGTGCAGCCATCGGATTTTTATTTGACCAATACTTTACTTTTGGTTTAGATCAGATATGAGCAGTTTGAACAATATAACTGATATGATACTATTTTTAGACCAAAGCTTTTATTTACCATTAGGCACAAGTTTCCTTATATTTAGGCAACAACAAGGGACCAGCTGTCGAGGGACCCTTTCTGTATCGAGGTAATAGCCAGTCCTGGAGGAAGGCTAATCATCACCAGAACATCACTACTTCAGAAACCAACCAAGCACACATGATATTCCCCATCATAACAATAAACTGCAATCAGGGAGCATTTTTCAATCTGCTCTTCTATTTTTTCTTCTTCTTAGTGCAAGTAAGTATTGCTTTCTGCAGAACATCAGTCAATGACTCCATGTTTATTATTGATTCTGCCTGCTCACGATCAAGAATTTTAGTCGTCGTCTTCATCTTCCCACTGAGCTGCTTCTCTAGCACGCAGAGCGAGGGCCACTGCCTCAGACATGCCTGGCCTGCTGCTGGGCTGGGATGTCTCTGAATCTGTTTTTCACAAAGGGAGTGATGTTAAGGGTGCTGGTGCTGGTATAAAAACCGCCCCCAGTGAAATCCCCGTGCTATTTAAGTGTCTCATCTGCCAAGTATTTGGAATGAAGTTACATGTTTGTGTAAACCAGGAACAGTTCAAGCTACCACAGAAGGTTCCATAGCTTTTTTTTTTTATTTGGGTATACAATGTCCAAGGGACTCTACATCATTAATAACCTTTTCTGAGATTCACACCACGATGTGCAGTACATCCCTAACGTGGTGTAATATTTTGGCCTGTGGCTGCTCCCATAAGACACAATGGCTCGTTTACCCACAGACATTAAACTCTCCAGTGTACAGAAGCTTGTAATCAGTCTTCAGAAGTCACCACTGACATTGCAACAAGCTACCAATAAGCACGTCCTATAGAAATGTTGACCCCAGAAACCCACTGTTTCTGTTTTCTCTTTATACAAGATGCTAAAATGCTGTGTCTTACATCAAGCTGTGACGTGCTGTCTCTCTACCGTATCAAACACTTTTACTGAGCTGAGCTTCCAAGAGCTGCTCTCTGTGTTCAGCATTTGTTGCTTACCTAGTGGGAATCCAGTCCTCTGCAAGATCCCAGCAGAATAGGGATACTGAAAACAAAATTCACAAGTAGATTTAGCTCCATGTTTCCCTCACATGCCAGTTATCTTGCATTTAAAAAGATATCAGTTACTGTAACAAACCGTATTCTCCAGCTCTTAAGCAGGTTTGTGAGTATGAGTATTCCAACAGCTATTCCGATTACATTTTGGTACCTGCTGAAATTAATCTGTAAAATTATTTCAGTACATAGAGGATATCCTCTCTGTTCAATGCACACTCATTGTACCATGGCCCGGGTTCTATATAGGGAAATGTAGCAGAGACGTCCTTCTTTTGACCATCTCACCTCATTGTAGGATGCATTTCGATTGCTGTTGAACTCCCTTCCTGGGTAGCCTGACACTTGCTGGGCAGGTTGCCTGGACAGGTGGTATGAGGAAGAGCTTCTCTGAAAGGCAGAATACTTGGCATTAGAATCATAGAATCATAGAATCGTTAGGGCTGGAAGGGACCTTCAAAGGTCATCTAGTCCAACCCCCCTGCAAGGAACAGGGATATCTCCAACTAGATCAGGTTGCTCAGGGCCTCAATAGAAATGGGGAATTAGCAGTACTATATTCTGGACATGGCCACAGGGTTGTCCAGTGTTTGAAAATCCCCACAGAAAATGCTCACTCACTTTAAGCTCCCCTCTTAACAGTCATTATTTATTTATATTATCACACATGTGTTTATATTTATCAATATATTAATATCAACTATTATCAGGGTTTTTTTATATTATCACATTAATGATGGTCAGTCATATGGGGAGATTTGTCTTTTTTGGGGGATGGAGGTGAACCTAACCTAACAAACCCTTTTTCTTCACCAGTACATAGGTCAAAGTTTTCACTCAACCCAAATAAAAACACTGCACTGCACCTAGATGTGCACATTTTAACACTAACTTGGCGGCTCAGCAGGCAGGACTGATTTGAAACATAAATTTGAGTTCAAGACATTAGATGTCTGTCTTGGTGTTGTATGGGATTTAAAATGAAGTTAGGTCAAAGCACTCAGTTTTATCTCAGCTGAAAAGATTTGGGAGCGGGGGGGCACAAGCCATAACCCCCTAAGGAAATCCAGAGCCAGGGGAGGAAGGCAGCCTCCTCCTTAGTCTAGGCAAGGTCCAAGTGTGGCCAAACCCTTTAGTGAACATCACTGCACACTTAGATAGGAATGTTCCCTTGCAGTTTCATAACCAGAAACAATGTCTAGTGAGGATAAGGACTTTTCCGTATCCTTCCCAGGTTAAATTCCAGTCTGGAACAAAACGTTAAGGAACTTCCACGGTGTCTTTCTGCTACCTGGAGTTAACTAGTAATCAATCAACTTATGTGAAGTTTTAAATACAGACATATCCCAAATTGGCAGCCTATTTGCAAGGCTATAGGAACCCTGTGAAATCGTACCAAGCTTGTAATTGAAAGAGTAGTATCTGAACTATCAAACTGACCTGCTGCTCTTGTCCTCTTGGTGCAGACAGGTTTGGTTTTGCCCTTTGCAGTCCCCGTAGCATTCCAAGTAAAAACTTTTTATCTTTTCCTTCCTATGGTCAAGACACATTTGATCATTAGCTGCAATGGACTACTCATTCTTGAGAGGCTCAAGTAACCATTGACCAGAAAATCATCAAAATTCCTTTTATTCTTAAATAATCTGTCTACAGAGGGAGCTGCAGCAGCACAGCTTGAAGGTAAAATTATTTTGCAACAACTCTATTCGTGAATTAAGTTTCCCTGCAATTCCCATGGGGGAGCACTCTCACACTCCCTTGACTCTCAGAGGAAAAGCAGATTACAGCTCCACAATAGCAGGATGAGATAATCAACAAGGAAGCCAAATTTTAAAAAAGATAAAGCTGAAAGTCAAACTTACATTACTAATCTGCTTATATAAGAGTT